AATGCTGGGACTCAAACCTATGTCTTCTGCAAGGGTATTCAGTGCTCTTAACTTCTGAGCCATCTCTCCAGCCTGCTAAAAAAATTTTTTTTTAATTTATTTTACTTTTAATTATGTGCTTGTCTATGTGTAGATATGTATATATTCATGCAGTGTCCATGAAGACCAGAAAAGGGCGCTGGATCCCCTGAGCTGGACTTAGAGGCCATTTTGAGGCACCTGACATGAGTGTTAGGAACCCAATTGGGGTCCTCTGCAAAAGCAGTACACTCTTTTAACTGCTGTGACATCTCTGACATCTCTTCAGATACACCCAAATATTTTTTAAATTTTATCTTTTATTTTGTGACTGTTTCACTACATGATTTGAGCTAGACTGAAACTTAAGACTCTCCAGCTTCAGCCTCCTGAACACTGAGAATGTACATGTGTGCCATTAAATAGTACAAATTAAAATAGTACTATTTATTTATTTAGGTCTTTTTGAGACAGGGTCTCCCTGTAGCCCCAGCTAGCCTGGAACTAGCTATGTAGACCAGGCTGGCCTTGAACTCACAGAGATCTACCTGCCTCTGCTTCCCAAGTGCTGGGACTAAAGGTGTGTGCGACCACGGCTGGCTAAAATAGTACTATTTATAATGTCCAATAGCAGTGGAACACAGAAACAAATGTGAGCAGAATAGAGGAACAAATGTGAGATTCTCATGAAAAAATCTTCAGTCCAGGTATGGTAGGTGTGCTTGTATCTCAGCCCCAGGAGGTACATACAGGCAGCAGGATCACCCGACTTTGAGTCCAACACCATGTTCCAATAAATGAATACATGCATACCACATAAACCAGGGCTGGGCAGGTAGCTCAGTTGGTAGAGTATTTGACTAGCATGCACAAAGCCCTGGGTTTGATCCCAGTACCACATAAAACAAGGCACAGTGGTACACATCTATAATCTATAATCCCAGCACTCAGGAAGTATGAGGAGGAGGAAGAGTTCAAGGTTAACCTTGTTTACACAGAGTTTGAGGTCAGCCTGGCTATATGAGACCCTGACTCAGAAACAAACTAAAATCTTCTATGTCATTAAAACACAGAAAGGCTAAATATCACCTTAGAAGAATATATGTCAAGTAAAAATAAAGTCACTGGAGCTGTATATGCAATTACAATTCTTCTTTTTAATGCTGTGTGTGCATACACCACAGCACATGTATGGACCAGAAAACAACTTCTGGGCATTGAGTGAGTCTCTCTCTCTACTGCATGGGTTCCAGGGATCAAAATCAGGTCATTACGCTTGGTGGCAAACACACTTACCCCCTGAACTATCTTACCAGTCTGCAGTTTTTAAAATGTTAAGACATTTTTACCATAGGGCCTGGATAAGACATATAATAATAAAAGCAACTGACTTATTTCAGTAACACAGGAGCAAATTTTGTTATTGTTTCTAATATTTTGTGATGATTCCATTTTCGTAAATGTCATCATGAGACTTGTGGCTAGCAACCAAGCAACAAAACAAAAACAGGAATAAAAAGCACTCAAACCACTGAATCCACAGCTTCATTTTCTATCATCTAATTCAAACTGTTCACTTTAGGTTCTGCCACCCAGACCCACCTCGGCAAGCTTGTTGAAGCCCTGTGAGTGCCCCTCCTGCCGCTCCACCTGGCATTTCTTGGCATAGCGACGGTTTCCATCCATTATGAATGCAATATGTTTGGGTACCGGGCCAGCCTGCAGAACAAGACAAAGACAAAGATGACCCAACCCATTCTCTTTGAAGATAGATTGGGTCAAAGGGAAACACCAAAATAATCGGTTTGAACTAGAAGATAAAAATCCCTAGGCTGGGGGCTGGAGAGATGGCTCAGTGGTTAAAAGCACTGATTGCTCTTGCAGAGGACCGGGGTTCAATTCCCAGCACCCATATGGTGGCTACGAACCGTCCTTAATCCAGTTCCAGGGGAATGAGAAGCTGCCTTCTGACCTCCAAGGCATTGCATGACATAGGTGCACTCACACATGCAGGCAATACACTCATACACATAAAATAAAAATAATATTAACAACAGTCTGTAACTCCAGTCCCAAGGGATTCGACAGCCTCTTCTGTTCTCTCGGGCACTGCACGACACAGGTGCACTTACCTACACACAGGCAATACACTCATACACATAAAATAAAAATAATAAATAAAATGTTAAAAAACAAAAAAAGGACAAATTCAATGCTTGAGTCAAAAACCTGTCTTAGGCACACAATATAACATTGTCATGATTCCCAAATGAAAAAACAAAGGCTGAAAGAAGTCTTTGGGGATTGTAGCCAGTGAGACTTGGCTCAGCTGGTTAAGCCACTTGCCAACACACCTGACGACTTGAGTTCGATGCCCAAAATTCATGTGGTAGAGAAAATCCTTTCCCCCAAGTTGTCCTCTGATCTCCATATATGTGCTGCACACCTCCCAAAAATAAGTGAATAAATGTAATTAAAAGAACAAAGATTTGGGGATGTGTGGGAGAAACAGGGATCATACTCTCCAATGGCCTGAAAGATCACCCCAGTCATAGCAGTAACTGGGGACCACAAGGCATTGTGCTAAGTGCTTTGCATATATGTTTCCTTTAATCCTCATGGAGGCTTTATGTTTGTTTAGTGACACTGTTGGTAAATAACAGGACTTTTACTCAGGCTTGTCTGCCTCTAGAATCCAAAGACTTTACCATCAAAGAAAGAGTATTCTATTTTTACCCAAAAGACAGTACTAGGTTTTAAAGTGGATTAGAGTTCTAGGGAAACAAATTTCAGTTACTTTTCATTCATATTCATAGTCTCTCTCTTCCTTTTTCAAACTCAGGTCCTTGTGCATGCTAAGTATGCATTCTACCACGAGCTACATCCCCAAGACCTAAATTTCAGTATTCTATAAGGAACATCTGTCTGTGCTGCCCAATGATATTAAAAGACCCTGGTCTGGGGCTCAGTGGTTAAGAGCACTGACTGCTCCTGCAGAGGACCCGGGTTCGATTCCCAGCACCCACATGGCAGCTAACAACAGTCCATAACTCTAGTTCTAGGAGATCCGACTCCCTCTTCTGACCTCTGTGGGCACTGCGAGACATGGGTCCAGTTACATACATGCAGGCAAAACACTCATACACATAAAATAAAATAAAATAAAATAAAATAAAGTAAAATAAAATAAAATAAATCAAAGATACCCTGGTCTGCCTGAAAAGTCACTGGGAACAATAACATACTAGATAACGTTCTAGAAATCTAGTCCAACAAGCAATATTACAATTCCAAGACTCTGGTTCCTTTGCTACATGCCACTTAACAACATGGGCTGCTGAACTTTAATAAGATTACCCAATCGTCCAAAAGGCAAACTGGTCCTCCGGGCCACTGCTCACCTTTATGATATTGGCACAGAACCGTTCCCAAAGTGACAGCTCTCCTTCCTTGATCCATGACATAGTTCTTGTTGTCAGAAAAATCACCGCAGAACAAAACACCAGCTAGGTAACCTTGAATAAATAAAAAACAGGTAAGTTACTAGTGCTTGCGAGGGGATACGGCTCGCTCAGAGACTCAGGTGGACTGTAGAAAGCAGCCAGCATCTGAATCCAAACACTGGTCTAATATTTCACCAACGGGAACCTTGGGGGCAAGCCTTGGCTTGCTTCCCTGTCTTGGCGGTTCCCATTTTCTTTTCCTCGTGATTTGAACTGCTGTCTGCAGAACATCCAAGGCGGCTTCCTGCCACATCATGGTGCCTACATCTTGATCATTCCCCGCATCTTCTTTCCTCATCTCCCCGCAAGCCGTTTCTCTGCGCTAACCACTCACTAACCCCTTCAGCTGTGACACGTGTTTCCTCAGTGGTCCGCAGCCACTCTTGAAACTCTTCCTTTATTCCTCCCGCAGCTACCGCCCCAGCTGGCTGCCGGTCTTGCGGTTGTGCGAGTTCACGCAACACCAGAAAAGCAAGGCAGGCTGGGTTTTTTACTGTTCCAGTGCGCCGACGCGGCCGAACGACGTGGCGCAGGAAATATACGTCATCGCTGGCTGCTAGGATACGCCTCCGACGTCCCGCCCCCCAGAGGGAGGAGCCCGCCTTGTGTCTGCAGGCTCGGGGCGGGGCTAATGGACACTAGCAGGACTGTTATTGGTGAAGACTCCCTAGGGGCGGGGCCAGTACAAAAGGTGGTGGTCGGGAACACGTGACCCAGAGGGCGGGCGGGACGCTGGGGGCGTAGGGGTGGTTCGCGTGCAAAACTGGTAGGGAAGGTTCCGCCCAGCCAGGGAAAGCAGGTCAGTAGATGATGGCTGCCCAGCGTATGGAGCAGGTGCTGGGCAAGTTTTTCGCGTGTCCAGACCGGGGGAACTTCAACTCAGAAGTTAAGGGGTGTTTTTATGGCTGACGGCAGTGTTTGTTTTATTGACACCTGTCTTCCTAATTAGTCCAGGTGACGTCGAACTTACGTCAGTCGTCCTGCCTCTGCGCTCAACTGGGTTTGTTCAGTAGTTCTGCTGTAGTTTAGTCTTAAAATTGTGTTTTTAGTGTTGGGGAAATGGCTGAGCGGTTAAGAGCACTGGCTGTTCTTGCAGAGGACCCTGGTGGTTATTAACCGCCCCCCATAACTCCAGTTCTAGGGGATCCGATGCCTTCTTTTGACCTCCTCAGGTGCACCTACCTACATGCAAGCAGTACACTTATGCACATAAAAAATTAAAAATTTCTGAAAAATTTTATTTTTAGCCGTTCTTAAAGTCCCAGCATCCAAACAGATCTCTTGAGATTGAGGCCAGCCTGGTCTACATAGGGAGTACCAGGTCAACCAGGGCTACATAGTGAGACCCTGTTTACAAACACAAAAAACTCTCTCCCAAATTACATTAGCCAGTATGGCAGCTTATTTTCTGTGAAGAGGCTGAGGCAGGAGGATCAGAAGTTCAAGATGTTTCTTGGGTAAATAGAAACCATACCCTGTCATTTGCATTTTAGCTCATTTATTGATATTAATCGGTTGGGAAGAGGTACCTTGTCCAGGTGATAGGCATACTGAATGCTAAACTAGTCCAATTTGAGTATCTAGTATTTATAATTTGCAGATTCCTAAGATCAAGTATTTACTTCATTTCCAAGTGAAGTAAAAAGGCGCAAGGCCAGAGACAGCTTTACTTTAAGAATGATTTCTAAAATAACAGACCATGGCCCTAGGGAATGATGCTCAGCTGGTATAGAGTGCTTGCCCGCATGCAGGAAGCATTCAATTCATCCCTTGCCCAGCATAAAATGGCCATGGTGTTCCATGCTTGTAATCAATCCCAACACTCAGGAGGGGGAGACAGGAGGATCAAAAGGTTAAGGTCATCCTTGGGTACATGGAGAGTTTGGGGTGCTCTGGGTTACATAGAGACTGTCTCAAAAAAACTAGAGAAAATATATATATAATTAAAAAATAATAACAAAAAGGACATAGTCAACAAAAGTAGAAATCAAAAAGGGTTGTACCAAATCTTACAAGACTTTTAGACACTGAATTACATAATTTGGTAATTCCACTTTCAAAACAAGAGAACTTTCAGTATCTGATGCAACCAACATGTCTTTCAAATCACCAAACTTCCATGACTTGAGTGTAATAGAATTTCACAATTTCAGTGAACGCTTTTACTTTGTCTCGCAGTCTCAAAGGCACAGGGCAAGGAAGAGTTGTTGATTGGTCTTCCGCTTTTCCTGATTAAAAGGTTGTAGTTTCAACAGAAGTGAAATTAAAGCCTTGGAGATGAAGTGCCCACTTATCAAATCTTAGTTATCTGTTCTTCCTCCTTCTTGACCTGGGAACGGTTTGACTAGTAATGACTTCAGCTTTGCAGGAAGATGGTTCACTGAAGCCCAGTACCTTGCACTGCTGTTTAGCTTTTGATACAATTAGTTAAAGGGTCACAACCCCCCTGCTCCAGTAATACCAACATTCCAAGGATTTATTTAAATCCAGTTTGTTTCCTTGCACTTTCTGTTAATACCTGATTTGCCTGTGGTGGGACCCCTCTCCCCTTTTAAAAATAATCTTTTCCTTTGGAGAATGTTTAAATGTTCAGTATTCAGTAGAAGGCTAGCAAACTATCTCAAATAAAATGTTGGTTTACAGTCAGTGAATCTCCTTTGGCCTCAATTTCCCCAGCTCTGTATGGTATTTTCCTTCTTGGGGTGCTGCAAGGGGTTAATTAGGATTTGCAAAGGGCTTTGAGGAGTAAGGGACAAAGTATTATTAGGGTCTCATGCCCTAAGCCATGGCCCCATCCTTTCATCCCAGCCAGTGGCATAGGCATCCCCATTCTTCTGCATGCCAAGTCTCTAATCCCCTCTTGAATGGGGCAGCTTCCAAGGAAAGGACAAGAGGCCTTAACTAGAAACAAAAATCCACTGTAATGAGGTCCTCTAAGGACTGAACTTTCAAGATTCATCCCTAACAAAGTGTCAATAGGGAAAACTTAATGGTTCTGTGACTTCCCACTCCAAGGTAGGAATTATGGGAAGAGAAAAGCATTCTAAATATCTGACAAGGAGAGAACATTTTGAGTACCAATAAGTCTTTATTTTCCCAGGGAAAAAAAGGGAAGAAGAGTCAGCATGTGTTACAAAATGATTATATAATAGGAAAAGAAATAAGTACCAGGGTACAGTAAAATCAACCATGAAATAAACACCCTAGTGGTGGGGTCACCAAAGCCCAAGGGGGCTTAAGTCTCCTGCAGTTCAGGAAAGAGAAGGGATCAGGGAAAGAACAGACAGGTACACTTTCCCACCCTCCCTCCCCATAAATTCAAGATTTCTCACAAAGCTTTGGTTTCTAGCAGTAAACATGGAGTTACATTCGTTCGTCTCCTATTAAACAATCTTGTGGCCACTTTGACACAAATTTCTTGCACCTGCATAAAAGTTCCTGAGTGACTTGAATATACATTCATATGCCCTTTTCTGGTCTCCAGACTCCACTTTTTACATGGAAGGCCCCACAACTGCTTCTACCTACTTGAGGATTATAGATTAAGTAGGTTCGATCCATTCAAACACAGCAGTGTTATGTTTGACAAGAATTACACCAAGAAATGGTCTTGTCTGAGACGTGCCTCACATCTATAATCCCAGCACCGAGGAAGCTAAGGCAGGAGAATAGCCAAGACTTTGAGGCTAGACTACAGAGTAAGACCCTGTCTCAAACAACCAAAAAAAGGGGGAATGGGTGTTGATCGAGGTTGGGAACAAGAGGCAAGATTAGGCGTTTAGAGTTTTTGTGTGTCACTTAAGAGTTAAAGAGACACTCCAAGAATTAAATGGGTGCTTAAGTTTTCTTTTGAAGAAGAGGGTAGTCAGTATAGGAGCTGTTTTAAGGACAGAGAATGTGGTCCAAAATGGGGAACAGGGAAAGAGGAGCACAAAAGAAAAAAGCATGGTGTGAGATCACACTAGGAGGGCCTCCACACTTAATGTTTCAGATCCTTTTGTCTGGTGCAGAACTTTCTGTCAAAGATGCTTTGGCTATTTTTCTCAATACAAAAAGAAGTTTTGTAAACAATAAAGCCCCAAAAGAACATGAAGACCAACACATTATATTTACACAAACGAGGCCACCTAGCAATCACCAACTCAGAGACTCAGTAAAGTCCTACAAAGCCCAGACAAAAACAATGACTAGAGGGGGCAGCACTTGAGGGAGACAAGAAACCAGGATCAGACACACACCACCCAATGCGTTCTATTGCATTTGTCCCGTTTTCGACACAGTGAGGTAGGTTTGCGGTGATCTCACAGCATGTAAACGAAACCCCCTTTTCTTCTTTAGCTACCATGACAACACTGTCAACCACTACTGCAGCAGGGCAGGACACTGGCTCCGGGCGCCACAGAGGCCCACACTTGCAAGTCTCTCTAGAAGCCAAGATTTTGAAAGGTTAAAGATTTTGGTCCTTGTTTCATGCATCTGTCCCTGGATAGCACAGGGTAGGAACAAGGGCATTAGTCTTAAAATGCATCCTTATCAGGATGGGAATATAGCTCAGTGGTGCTTGCCCAGCACACGTGAGGCCCAAGGTTCAATCCCCAGTATCACAAAACAAACAAAAATACCTCACCCTCACAACTTGCATTAAAAAAAAAAAAAAAGAAAACAAAACCAACACACACAACACATACACCCTGCTGTGCATGGCAGGCTAGGCTAACCTGGTGAAGGATGGAGTTGGTATAGAAAAAATTCTTGTGCCCAAGAATTAGCCATCCTCTAATTGTGCATGGATTCTTCTCTGCACCTGCCTTCCTGACCTAGCTTCTAATGTCTCTGTACCACCTTTTCCTGTTGACAGTAATTTTCAGTCTTAGAACAAAAGGAGATCGAGTTATGGGGCAGCCCAGTTAAAACCCAGTCTCCTATGAAACATTTTTCAAGGTGGATGGGGGTTTCAAGGACACTATGGCAGAAAAGCCAGCTGCAATTGGCAAAAATGAGGTAGTTCAATAGGCAATGCACTCCGAATGGATGCTTTCCATGGTGATAAGGTATTCCTGCTGTGCAGACCTGGAGCTGACTTATCCCTGAGATTGCTCATGTACCTGAGTACACAGTGCAGGAATGAGGGCCTTAGATTAAAATATACAAAAATACAAACCAGAATATTTATATTAAGAAAAAAAAAGTTAAAATGCACAAGATACGTCATTCGCACACAGATAGTGCAGTTGGCATCCTGGAGAAAGTGGGACCCAAGGTGCAGTTACCCAGGGGCACAAATAAATTAAACTCACATTGGCCCAGAAAGGGATGGGAATGAGGTAGGAACAGCAGGTCTGCAGCTGTTCCTTCAACCACCCTCTTTGCCTGTTGTCACAACCCATTGCTTGAGACAGTTCCCAGCACCATATCCCAAGACTGGGTTATGAGTAAACAAGATGTGAAAACAAGTCCTGCCTTGCTCCTGAGATTCCCTCCCAAAAAATACAGTAGCTGGTAGGTTCGGTTCATTAACCTGG